TTGTTTCTTTTCTCTAACTGCTTGTAGAACTTTGTTCTTCTGTTGAATTTCTGGAATCTTAGCAATTACATGCCTATGTTTAGATTTTTTTTGATCAAGGCTATTTGGAGTCCTGTATGCCTCACTTATCTGTATGTCAAGCTCTTTTCCCATGCTTGGGAAGTTTTCTGCCATTATTTCTGTGAAGAGTATTTTTGTGTCATCTGCACTCTCTCCTGTTTCTTCATTGACTCCAGTCAGTCTTATGTTATTCTTCTTTGCATCATGTAGCAGCTGCTGGATTGATTTCTCATGTTCCCTTATAATTTTGAAGCAGTTTTTCTTTTCCTGGTTGTTAGTTGAAATCTTATCTTCTATATCTGAAATTCTGTCCTCACATTGGCTCATTCTACTGTGTAGAATTTCAGAGGAGTTTTTCATGTCCTGGAAATCTATTTGCATCTGTTTCATGGATTCCATTTGTTTCCTGTGTTGGGATTCCATCATGTTCCTGAGCTCCTCTCTAGATTTATTCATCATTTCTTGCGCTAGGAGCACAACCTCTCCTATTATCTGAGAAATTATTTCTGATTTCATTTTTTCCATATCCCCTTTTGTTGCCAGTTCAGTGGGTCCAGGTGGTTGAGTATCAGGTGTTCCATCTCATTTCCCTTTGGGGTTGCTATAGGTGATCTGGAAGTCTGGTTTTGAGACTTATTTTCATGTTTTCTCATTTCTACTGGGGGTGCGGGGGGGTGCTGTTGGTGCCCATGAGGATGACCTCCTCTGAGCTGGAAGAGGTGGGACAGGGGCCGGGAGAGGAGGTAGGGATGGTGGCCCAGAAGCCCCTTCCTCTGGGCTGGGAGCGGTGGGATAGAAGGTGGCCCAAAAGCCCCTTCCTCTGAGCCGGGAGCAGTGGGATAGAAGGTGGCCCAAAAGCCCTTTCCTCTGGACCAGAAGCAGTAGGATGGTGGCTCAGAATCCCCTAACTCTGGGCCGGGAATGGCGGGACCCAGTACCATGGTCTGGTAGTTCAGTGTCCTCTGCATCTTTGTAGTATGGAACCAGGTGGCTGCCTGTCTGCAGCGGGCTGATTCAGCGTGTTCCCTGTGACAGGCGACCTCGGTAGGGCATCCGCAGACCTGCTTGTCTGCAGCGGGCCTGGTCATGAATTTCTTAAGGTGCTCTTAATCACCAAAAAACCGTATTTCCCCATCAATTTTGAAAGATAATTTTGCCGAGTATATATCTGAGTTAGAAGTTGTTTTTAGGGATTGAAACACTTCCCTTGAAGAGCTCGTGGCTTAAGGTTTGTCTGGAGAAGTCTGCTGTTATTCTAACATGTTTACCTTTATGAGTGATTCATTGTTTTTCTCTAACAGCTTTTAATATTTTGTCTCTGTTGGATCAATTTTTGTTCTAAGTTCTTTTTTGATTGTGGCTATTTGGAATTCTGTATACCTAACTTTATGTTTAATTCTGTCTGTATATTTGGAACATATACTGTCATTTCTTTTTTATGCCATTTTTGCTGTTTTCACTAATTTTGGTTAACCTTATTCTTCTTCGCATCATCTAGCAGCTGTTGTATCTGTTTTTCACGTTCTCTTCTTATTTTTAAGGTATCTCTGAATAATTGGTTTCAGAGACAGTCTTCTGATTCTTCCACTCTGTCCTCCTGTTGGTCACTTCTGCCCATAATTTCAGTAGAATTTTTAATATCCTGGGTTTCTGTTTGGTACCCATCCGTGGACTCATAATTCTTTGCCAAATAGGTCATTTGTGTTTTGTATGGTTTTGTTTAGCTGATCTAGCTTTTTTTAGTGTCTTCTGTAACTTTGATAATTGTTTTGTTTATTAAATCCATTATCTATTATTTTCTTTGTGCTCACTGAGCACCTTATTGATGTGTATTTTTAATCTGTGTTGTCCTTTGGCGTAATAATCTCTGTTGTCCTTGTGATTTTGGCTTTTGATTTCCTCCCCATTTATTCCCTATGAATCAAGTTTGAGAAAGTTGGGTCTTTATAGGCATTTTGTTGCTTTGTCATCTCATGTTTCTATTGTTTCTCTGTTGTGTTTTGTGCTGAAGTTTGTGGGCCCTTATATTGGAACAACTTGTTGCTGGTGTGGGGATCTCTTTAGTTAGTGTCTGCTTTTCAGTGATGCACTTTTGGCCTGGATACCTATAGGCCTTTTCCTCTGTCCCAAGATCCGATCACCTCCATTAATTTGGAATGGGAGGATGCAGTGTAATTGGCTCAATACCCTGTTCTCTTAGTATAGACAGTAGTATTGTTAATGACACAAAGATAATCTGGATATTAGTGTACAGATAAAACCTATTAATAGCAACAACTATGCCACCCTACTAAATCAGCAGTAACACCCAAGACGAACTGGATATTGACGTACCATAAGAATCCATAATGTACCACCCTTAACCATAGAAAAGAGATCTATAATTATAGTATAAACCCAGGACAAGCCAAATATTGATATATATAGTAAATATTGACTAAATGAAAAGAAAAAAAAATTGTTCAAGAAAAAATTTTTCTCTGTATTTTTCATGAGTGATTTCTTTGCAGGATCCACAGTTTTGAAATCCTCTCAATTCCCAGAGGTGTACTATTTTTTTTTTCTTTTTGCCAGCTTGTTATTTTCCAAGTGTCTGGATTCTGGATGCTGCGAAGGCTGTATTTTGCTGCTGATCACTACTCTGCCATTTTGGTTGTCCCCACCTTGGCAAATTTTTAAAAGTTTATATAACCTTTAAAAGTCAGTGAATTTTTACAGTGATTTTATTGTATTTTATTGTAGGTACATTTAACTTCATGATAAGTTAAAGAATGTGTAAGGAGAGGGCTGAGGTTATAGTTTAGTGGTAGAGCACATACTTATCATGTATGAAGCCCTAAATTCTATCCCTAGCACCAGCCAAAAAAAAAAAGTATATCCACATAACACAGAGGCACACATTGTATTAGAGTACATACACTGATTTCCTTTCGAGCCTACTTTTCTGCTTTCCTTCATTTTTTCCTGCCAGCTTTTGTTTTAAAATGATAGGTAATTTTCAATGGTAATATAAAGTTGTGGAAAGGCACAATGGACTAAGCATAATTTTGAGAATTATTTAAGGTGCTTTTTGTATACCTTTCTATTACTCTTTATAATTATTTTTATCTACTGGACATTTAAGTTTCTTGGAAAGAAGTGGGTTTAAATTTTATTATATTTTCATCATTTAGCATATTATCTAGTATGTATAGGGACACAATCTGTTGAATGAAAAAAGTACATATTTCCAAATGAGCAGTACAGCAGTACAGTTTTATAGGAATGTATTGTCCCCTTGTTGGTTGGGTATTGTTAGTCTTAATGATTTTTCAAAGGTCTCTTTTAATGTTTAACAAAATAAATTGATAGTAAACGTAGATTGAATGGATAATATTCTTGTGCTTTGTTTTTTAAATGTAGGTACTCTTAACCTTGTAATTCCATGGAAAAACCTGTATACTCAACCAGTTGAAGCTGTATTGGAAGAAATTTATTTGCTCATAGTGCCTTCTTCTAGTAAGTACAATTTTTAAATTATAATTTAAATTACTGTCTTTTTGAAAATTTTTTCATGGTAGAAAACAAGAGTTGTAAAGTACAAACTAAAGAGTTGGCTAACAGAAAATGATCCAGAAAACTGGTCAGCATGTCTTACTGATGATGTCATTGACTTGTTGTGAATACTGGAAAAAAAAAATTATTCTGTTGTAGATGAAAAAGCCTTTATATATATTTTATACATATATTTGCTCATAATTGTTTTGGGGAATCTTTTGAGATATTTTAGTATTTACTTTTAGTATTTGTTCAAATTTATTTTATTCTAAATTTTTGTCGACTGCATTAGAAATTATTTTCAAGGATATTTTTCAGATGAGTATTTTAAAATTTAATTAAGATTCTTTTTGGGCCGGGGATTTAGCTCAGTGTTTCCACGGCCTGCCTTGCAAGTGCAAGGACCTGAGTTCAATCTCCGGTACCAAAAAAGAAAAAAAAAAAAAGATTCTTTTTGTGCTTCATGCAGGAATAAAATATGATCCTTTAAAAGAAGAAAAGCAACTCATGGAAGCAAAACAGCAGGAATTAAAAAGAATAGAAGAAGCAAAACAGAAAGTTGATCAAGGTAAAGAAAATAATAAATATCAGTGGTAATAAAAGTTCTAAATGTTTATCATAGTAGAATATTATTTTTCTTTAGAAGAACTTGAGATTACTTAACAGATAGGAGAGAATGTTATTACATAGTGTATACAGAAATTTTACCTTGCAAAAATTTATCTTAAGGGAAATATCATGTCTGGCTTATAAGGGTAAGGTTAGTTTTTATCATAGCAATTATTTTTATCAGGAATGTTTTCTTATCTTTCCAAATTTTCCTCTTGTATTCCCTTGTATCACTTCTTTACCATTTAAGGGTACTTAGCCTCTATATATTTAGTTTTGCCTCAATCTGTTTGTTGTCCCTCTGGCATCATATCCTTTTATTTAACTTACACCACGGACCATTACTACAGTTGCTTTTTCATCAGTGGAAAAAGTGTCCCTTAGAAATCTAATTCCTAGGCCCGGGGATTTAGCTTAGTGGTTTTGCCATCTGCTGCTCAAGCACAAGTACCAGAGTTCGAACCCCGGTACCAACAACAACAACAAAAAAATCTAATTCCTGGCCTGGGGATTTAGCTCAGTGGGCCACGCCTGCCTGGCAAATGCAAGGTACTGAGTTTGATTCCTGGTACCAAAAAAAGACATTAAAAAAGAAATCTAATTCCTTTTTACCTATCCATCGTCATCATCACTAGCTACTTTTTACATTCTGACTCTTAACTTGTTCCCCTAGTTGGTTTTTCTTATTTTGTGAGTGTTTTGTAGCCTTTTCTTATTTTAAAACATAAAGTCACCTTCTTAACCTAGTCATCTTCATTGACTAGGTTAAGCATCTTAAAAGGGTATGTATGTTGACTTCATTATCCTTGCCATGCATTAATTCATTTTTTAAGTGAAAAATAAACTTGAACAACAATATTTGACCTGTTAATAAACATTAGCGAAGATTTAACACAATCTCTGCCAATACTACATGTAATTCTATTTTCTGTGTCACATTTCTTTCATATCCTGGTTAGTCATTCATCCCTAACCCTAATCTTCTCTTTGCTAAGTCTCCTAAACATTTTCCTTTTAAAAATTATTTTTATTTTGTCAAGGTAATACAGCTTTAAAAACTAAACAGGATTCATAATAGAAAAAACAAAAATTGGTTCCTTGACTCAGGTTTGCACCCTACTCCCTGCAGACTTCATTGCTATGTAAGATACTCACACCTCTGTCACTTGGTTTATTAAATATATGTGGGAAGTGCCTCTTTTTATGATGTACTCTGAAGGTTGACCAAGCAGCATAAGGTTTACTACTGAGCCAAGTAGTATACTCTTAACTACATATAGTTACGAGCTCAACTTTGTTTTTCGCTTGGTAAAGGTAAATGGATGTGGGTGTGACTTTATTATATAGACTTTTATTTAATCTCTGTTTTGGTACAAGACTTACCCTTTCCTTCTGTGTACTACATTTGAAGAGTCTGAGCCTTTAGGCTTCTATGTATTCTATAGAATAGGAAGCCCTTGCTTTCTCATTAGGTTGGAAAAGGGGTAGTAGTTTGGCTGTTGGCTTGGGAGAGAGGAATAGTAGAAGTTTAATTGCTCATTATACAGACTTTAAACCAATTCTTACATTATGTCTTTCTTCACTTCATTATGTCTTGTCACTGATTGCCATTTTTGTTTTGTGGAGTCTCAAGTTCCTAAGCCTTTCTAGGATTGTGTTTGTTAACTGATCCTCTGTTTCAGTGGCATCTCCATGTATGTTCGTTTAGGATTTTCTTGTTCTGTATGTTGTCTAAGACCATCTGTTTTTCGGTTTCTGAATTCTTTTTGCTTCTTTGTGTATTCTTTTTCCTATCTTCTTTCTTTGACTTTGGGGATTTATCCATTTTTTTTAAACCCCTCCCCCTTTTTTTTGTTTTAATGAAGTTTTATTGAGGAATAGAGAAGTGCGTGCAATCTGCCATGATTGATGAAAAGTCTGTACTGTGTATAGCTAGTCTAAAATATAAATGTTTTTATTTATTTTTTTGAGACAGGATGGTTTTGCTGTATAGTTCTAGAACTCACTGTGTAGCACAAGCCAGTCTTGCACTCTTGGGAATCCTCTTGCCTCAGCCTCCCGAGTCCTGAAATTATAGGCCTGTGCAGCCATGCCCAGCTCAAAAATATAAATGTTCAGTCATGCTTAAAATTCATTGCTGATCCGTTATCAGGATAAAGTTTAAACTCTGCAGCAAGATATATAAAAGCTTTTATGATTTGAATCTTGTCTACCTCTCTAGCTTCATAAATGGCCCCAAAACTTCTATTCTTTGGTGTAGCTATATTCTGACTGTGCCAGGTTCTCTGTGATCTGTATTTCATTTCCTACTTTATTGAATATTCGAGAATTATCAGCATTAGGTGATAGTTGAGATCAGTGATGGCAAAACTTTTTAGAGACCTAGTGCCCAAACTGCAACCCAAAACCCACTTATTTTTCACAAAGTGCCAACACTGCAGTAAAATCTGAATACTGAGGCTTTAATTTAGAAAAAAACAACTCACACACTTGGCTAGTGTGTCGACAGGGAGGGCTCTGCATGCCTGCTGTGGTGTGTGTGCCATAGGTTCGCCACCTGTGATTTAGACTCTGAGATGTGGATGAGGTTCCTTACAGCAGCAGTATAGAGTAAGAGAAACAGTTCTAGAAGTGTGTCTTCAGGAAATTCAACATCTGTTGATTTGTGTAGAAAAGGAAAATAGACAAAAGAATAACAAAAATAGAGTGTCCATATAATAGGAAATTTGGAGTTCATGGTTCCATGGGTGAAAAACTGTTTTAAATTAAGAAAATAACAGTATATCAAATCCTGAGAAGATGTCAGGTAAGATGAAAATTAAGAAATTAATCCTGACATGTCTGTCATTGGTTACCTTAGAAATGACCAAATTTATAGGAAAAAGGGACTTTATTATTTACTGGTGGGATTCAAAGAGCAGCTTGTATTTTGTTGCCTGTTTCACTTAATTGTATGGTCCTTTTATATTCAAATATATTCACTTAACTCATATTTGTAGCACAAATGGTTGATAACTTTGTTAATTTTCATTTATCTACCATCCCTAGGACCAGCTGAATTAGGGAATATAGACTATTAGAAGAAAAGGAATATGTGTATTGTTTATATAGAAGACTAAGAGTACTAAAGGAAGACAAGACTAGAAATATGAAAAGAGATGGCTTTCATTGGCACTTTTAAAAAGGGAAAAGGCATAGTAACTAGGAGCTATCAAAGGCATATTTTAAAGAAATTTTGATACTGTATTCATTCTGTTCCTCTGGAAAGTGTTGAAAGTGGAAACAATATCATTTTATTAAAATGAAACATGAACTTTTTCATCCTTGTTTGAAAAGAGACAGGAAACTATAATTTACTATTTTATATCATTGAAGAAGGAGTGTGCTGTATTGAACTATTTTGTACATTAAGCACAGATAACTTACAATAGTATCAGTAACTTTTATAGGAAATTCTTGCTTTGCTGCTCTTACTGGCTTTTCTAATTTTTTTTGTTGCCTGATATCGAACTCGGGACCTTGCACTTGCAAGGTAGGTGCCAGAACCACTAAGCTAAATCCCCAGCCCCACTGGCTTTTCTAATTTAAGCCTATTGAAATTTTTCATTATTTTTCATATCTTTACTCAGGCATAGTTAACAGATTAAGTGTAAAATTTAGTGTCAATAAATTTTACATAGTGGTTTTTAGTTTTTTGAACAAGAAACTAGCTTTTGAAAATTGGTGCATTCAGTTGCTTTTGAAAGTCTTTTGGTTTGAAAGATTTTGGAAAGCAGGCTATTAATGTTCTATTTACCCCATATATATATATATGTGTGTGTGTGTGTGTGTGTGTGTGTATATATATATATATATATATATGTTTTGTTGTTGTTGTTGTTGTTGTTTGGTACTAGGGATTGAACTTGGGACCTTGCACTTGCAAGGCAGGTGCCGGAACTACTGAGCTAAATCCCCGGCCCATGTGTATATTTTTTTTTAACAAGGGAATATATTACTTCAATATGTGGATATTATAGGGTGTATATTTCATTGAAGTTAAAAGGAATATTTGTAATTGTAGAACATCAGAATGAGAAGCAAGACACTTTTGTAGAAAAATTAGTCACTCAGATCATAAAAAATCTTCAAGTGAAAATTTCCAACATTCATATCCGTTATGAAGATGATGTAAGTATCTTAATATGTAATTTTAAAAATACATTCATACATAAATTATTTTACTGTTTATGGGCACTTTGTAATGGCTAGCCAATTAGATTGCTGGGAGTTAGAGGGATAGATGATATGATTTTTCTCTTTTATAATTGTAGTTGTCGTTTTTGGTCCTTAACACCAAGTGCTTGGTTATAGTTTCTTTAAGTTGTTCAAACTTGAGGTCAGAAAGAAAGATGCCTTGGGATTTACAAATTTCAGTTATACATTTTAAAATATGTTATTCTGGAAAGAGCATTGGTTTATGAATCAGAGCTAGACCTGTTTGATCTTAAATTGTTCATTGTTCTCTTAAACACATAATTATTTGGTTTATAGTATTATGAGTGTCAATCTTTTTATAAAACTTTGTATAAACTGGAAATATAGTGGTATAATACAACACTAATACATTAATATTTAATATTTGAGTTTGTTTTAGGAAAAATATAGGAACAAAAGTTATTTGGAAAACTAGTAAACTGTTTTTGAATGTTTGAAATAGGATATTTCCCAGCAAGTTAAGATTTTCTGTAGAGAATTTTGTCCAAATGCTAAAAAAATCTGAGTAAGATTTACTTTTCTCCTCTTTAGATTACAAATCGAGATAAACCACTGTCATTTGGTATTTCCCTTCAAAATCTCAGCATGCAGGTACTTTATGAAACTTAACTACATAGTTGCTTATTTCTTGTTTTTTGGCCACCAGTGAGCTTTTAGAAAGCAAAGACATTTTTGTGGTCATTTAATAGTCTTTGAATGATATGTTTTCAAAGACATTTCGTGGGAAATTGGTCTTAGAGTATTGTTAGTAATACCTTACATCTATGTATGTCCGTAAGAAATTGGACTTCCATTGGCCTTTTAAATATAATGATCTTTTTTACTGTTGGTTTTTTTTTTTTTTCTTTTCAGACAACTGATCAATACTGGATTCCATGTTTACATGATGAAACTGAGAAGCTAGTTCGTAAGGTAAAATAAATGCCCTTGGACTTGATGAAAGAGACTTTTTAAAAAAAGGACAGATGGTAATATACACATAAATACAGATTTATGTGAATTGTATTTATTTGCTGAACTGTGATAAGGCTTGCTAAATTACTTGAGACCTCTGAAAATAGCATGTGTTAAAATGCTTCAAAGAAAATGAGACATGTAATAAACTCAATTTATTTTCAGTTAATCCGATTGGATAATCTTTTTGCCTATTGGAATGTGAATTCTCAGATGTTTTATCTTTATGATTATGATGAATCATTGGTAAGTTCTTTTGATATGTGTATGTATATATTGGTATTATATTTTGTATGAGGCATAATTCTTTGTCAGTAATCTAAACATTAAAGTCAGCATTGTTTTCTAGGAAAAATTCATTATTATTGGTAAAAATGGTGAGTTGTGCAAACACACCTTAATGGCCATAGCATTGTTTTGTACTAATTTAATGATATGATGTTTAACCACTTTAATATTTTTCCATAGCTAAATCCCCATTTGAGTTTATTTTTTAAAATTGCTTTTAAACATATCGTAGATAGTAGAATTTTGTAGAATAAAGGTATATTGACATGAATGTGAATAAAAACAATTTGTCTTTTAATAGGACAGCTTGAAGAATGGCATTGTCAATGAAAACATTGTCCCAAGAGGTTATGACTTTGGTAAGTATATTCCATAAAATAAGAAATTTGAATAAAGTAATCATTATAAAATTTGCATTAACATTGCTGATATCACTCTGAAATTTGTTATATAACTAATATATACATATATATGTGTGTGTGTGTGTGCACACGTGCCTGTGCAAAAATAGAAATTACCTTTTCTAGACATTTTATTGTGGAGGAGCTTTTGGCTGTATTTCAGAACTATGGGCAGATGTCTTTATAACTATGTGTGTGTGTTACTGAGGAACCCAGGACCTTGAGCATCCTAGGCAAGTGCTGTACCATTAAACTGCAGCCCCAGGACCTTATGCTTGCTCTTTTTTTTTTTTTTTTTTTTTGTACTGGGGATCGAACTCCAGTCCTTGCGCTTGCGCAGCAGGCAGTGAAACCACTGAGCTAAATCCCTGGCCCTCTTGTGCTTGCTCTTAAAGTGTTATCCCCATTGTTTTAAATGTGGTTTCATTTTCTTAATTATTTTCTTTTAGGAAATGAACAGATGAGTTATTTGTTGTTTATGTTAATGATTCTCAAGTTTATTACTTTAGGTTTGACTTCTCTTTCACACTATAGTCATTTTATGCTATATTAGAGTCGAAGAAGAAAAAAAATTGTGCAGTAATTTGAACAGGGAATGTGTAATATAAAGAATTTCTAACAGTGAGAGGGGATTGCAGTAATAGGGGAATGGTTAGTAAAATGTAGAGAGAATGCTAAAGAGTATAGGTGTAGTAAGAAAAAGAAATGACCCCTACCTTTGGGTCAGGATGGAACACCTAAAGAAGAAAGCCTCTTCCCTCGGTCCTGAGATCTAGACCTTGCTGGAGGAGACAGTCTTGGCTCACCGAATGGCAGGAAAGTCTATGCTGTGCCGGCAAAACTTGTTGAAAACTCACCTTCTGTAATATTTTGGAAATTCTTTTACTGAGCCTCATTGGATAGTATCTCATTGCGTGTATTTCACTACAGAACTTCCTTGGCAGGGTACTGGCGGAGTTGCTAGCTGCTGCTAGCTGCTGTACACTGTAGAAGGTGATGCTGAGGAAGTCCTTCATGCTGTAGGATCCAGATACTAGAGAAGCCACCCATCTGTTCTGTAAGAGTTGGGTGTTAAGAGAGCAGTGCCTCTGCAAAAGCTTGTTGGATGAGTAGATTGGAAACAGGCAGTGTAACTCTTCCCTCCTGTGGTGTTTTTACAGTGTTTTGTATTGGTAAAGCTTAATGTTGTGCTAGCTGGTACAGAAAAAAGTATTTAAAGGGCCTGAAACTGTTTTTACAGCAGACAATAAAGGGTGAATTTGGAGCTCAGAGGCAATAAATTGATAATTGACATACTTACTAGGAAAGGAAAAGGATCTGAAGGGGGTGTCTGTCTTTCTCTTCCTACCTTTGTGTTTAATGGGAAAAATGACAGCATATTTATAGGCTGAGCTGGAAATGATCTAATAAAACATGAAAAATTAATGACTCAGGAGAGACAGGAGAATTTCTGAATCGGTGCAGGTGAAAAGGGATTGGTATGTCATATACAGGTGGAGAGTTTGGCCACAGATAGGAACATGGTCAGTTCATCTATAAGATACAGTTTAGTCATGAGAGAAGTCCTAGTGTTGGCTAGATGAGTAGATAGGTGACAGAAGTTCATGGAATTTCTCTTCTGAGTTCTTTTTCTTTATTTTAACCTCAGATGTTGAAGGTTTTTTGAAGTGCTCATTGATAGACATGTAGGAGAGTGGGAGAGTGAATTAACTACTCTTCCTAATATATGGGTCCAACTAGTAGCATTAGCATCACTTGGTAAATTGTTAGAAATATACATTTTTAGGGCATATCCCAGGGGCATGCTGAATTAGAACTTCTTGGGGAATGGGGAAAGCTCAGCATTTGATGTTTTAACAAGCTCTCCAGGTGATTTTGATGAATAATAAATTTTGAAAATCACTTGGCTAGAGTAGGGGTTGGGCATATAATAAGTTAAATAGTTTACATTTAGCGGCCCATATTGAGTCTCTGATGCATATTCTTCTTTGTTTCTTTATGTTTTGTTTTTTGTTGTTGTTTTTTGGTACCGGGGATCGAACTCTGGACCTTGTGCTTGTGAGGCAGGCGGTAGAACCACTGAGCTAAATCCCCGGCCCTTTGTTTCTTTTAAATAACCCTTTAAAAGTCTACAAATCATTCTTGGCCAAAAGACCATACAAAAGTAGGCTGTGGCATGGATTTGGTCGATGCATGGACTAAAGGAATGTTGTGTTATTGCTCAGCAGCATTAGGACATATTGATGATTTACATTAATGTGTGGTTGATATTTTCTTTTGAGCCACATTTAGCTGCTAGGTACATGTGAGGAGTAAGTGGGTTTAGCTGATCAAGTATGGGCAGAGTGAGAAGTGCAGAGGACTTAAAGATACAGGCAAGAAGATGATTAAAATGACTGCTGATGGGAGAATAGGATTGGGTGAGGGATGGAGGAAAGTTGATGAATGGTTACTAAATTACAGTTAGGAGCAAGAAGTTCTGGTGTGCTATTAAACAATGGGCTGACTATATATGATAATATTGTGTTGTACATTTCAAGACCTAGAAAAAAGGATTTAAAAATTTTTACCATAAAGAAATGATAAATAGGGGCTGGGGATTTAGCTTAGTGGTTCTGGTGCCTGCCTTGCAAGCGCAAGGTCCTGAGTTCGATTCCTGGTACAAAAAAAAAAGAAATGATAAATGTTTCAGGAGATAGATATGTTTTACCTGATATAAATATTACACAATGTATATGTATATCAAAACAGTACATAGTACCCCATTATTAGGTACAGTATTTGTGTTTTTGTCTCAGTTAAAAAACTTAATTAAAAGTATAGGCCTTCAAAACAGTAAGAAAAATGATGATAGATTTTTAGCAGAGTAGGGATAGAACTGAGGACATGAAGCAGAAATGAAGAATAGAGAAAAGGTAGTAGATCAATGATGGTGTTCAGATAAATATTTTTGAATGCTTAGGGTGTAAAAAGTTAAGTGCTAGTCCTTTCAGATAATTAAAACGAGAGTACACAGATTTGTATACAGATTACCTTATAATTTAATACTTAATCTGTTTAGATTCTATTACTGGTCTCTGCACAATTGTTATTTTAGCACTATTGATTGAGCCAAGCAGGCAGTCTTAGGTACAATCTCATTTTCTCTTTCCTTTTATTAAAAATGGAAAGGAGGACTAGGTAGACAGAAGAGATATTGAATTCAGAATTAACGTCATCATAAAATGGAAGTTTAAATATAAACTTTTCCTTGTCAATTCTAATATTTATTCTTGCAAACAGTATACTTATATCAAAACTACTTTGTTGGGCTCTTTTCCTTTAAAGTGAATGTTCCTGCTTTTAAAGCTTACCTTGGTGTTTGGAGGAGTTTAGGTAGCCTTTAATTATACTTCAAAACACAACAAGAATTATAAGTATGAAAAAGATAAAAGAATTTTCATCCCTCCAAATTATGGCAGTGTGGACATTTGGGAACTGTAGAGGGCATAAAAGAAATGAAAATCAGCGTTTTCAGCTTGATCCTTTTAGTACCTTAAGACTTTTGAAATATGACTTTATTTAATATTTTCAATTTGTGTTATTTTCCAGTATTTCGCCCCATATCTGCTAATGCCAAGCTCCAGATGAATCGCCGATCGGATTTTGACTTTTCTGACCCCAAAATAAACTTGGAAGTTGAGTTACATAATATAGCAATTGAATTTAACAAACCACAGGTATTTTCTTTGATGAAATTTTAAATTTGATGAATTTAAAAGTTTTTAAGTTAAATTTTGTTTGATAAAAGGAAAACTATATTTTTCTAAAATTCTTGTTATATGGTAACATTTCTTTTAAAAGTTGATAATTTAATTTTTGTCTTCAACAGTTGAACAAAACTCTTGAAGCATTTAGGAGTTTTAATTTTTCCATTCTTCAGTATTTCAGTGTTGTGGAGCTTCTTGAGTCAATTGATATGATGAAACAAAATCTGCCTTACAGGAAGTTCAAACCTGATGTGCCTCTTCACTACCATGCCAAGGAATGGTAAAATGCCTTATGGTTTTTACTTTTAAAAATTAGGACATAAAAATAAGTTTAATAATTTTTTAAAGATACTATTTAAAAACTTTCTGTCACTGAGACAGAATACTTGCTGCCCACAAATGTATTTTAAATGTAAAGTGTATTTGTCTCACAGATTCAGGTGGGTTCAGTCTACAGCTGGCTTACTCCGAGGCAGACTTGGCGTGGTGTGAGGAAAGCTGCTATTCACCCCGAGGTAGCCAGGAGTCAGAAAAGAGGCAGGACCAAGACACTCCTTTCTAGATCACAGTCCAAACTCATGAGACTTTTGTGGGACATTTACATCTAAACCATAACAGATACACTTTTTGTGGTCCAATAAAGTACATAATTTGTGGCTAGCAGTGTATGTAACTTCTTTGGCTTATTGTAATGAAAATTGACTCAAGGGATTCTTCATAACTACTTATAACTGGGGATAATAAAATATTGTAATTTTTAGTTATGTAGATCAGTCTTTTTGCAACTGTTAAACTATCTTGGTTTGTTTTTCATCATTTTCCTTTCTACCCCTCACCCCCACTTGTCCTCTTCCTCAAACTTTTCTATCAGACTCACTAAGCCTTTAGTACTAAACTTCTATTTTAAGACCTGGAAAGGATATGGGAGCCTATCCAGTACATATTTAAAAATTCAAAAGTCTTATTCCAATTTTTATTCTCTAGTTGAAGTTGTAATTATTCTTACAGTTGACTTTTTAATTCAAGTGAGTAACATGTTGTGAGATACTGTATGGCTTGTTAGTTCTTTTGCAGAGCTATATTGTTCTAAACAAAATTGAATAGTTTTGCGTATTTTCACTTTGGAAAAAGGTAAAGTTAATAATGGATGGATTGTTAATACAGACAGGGTTAGAGAAAAGTAGGTGTTCCGATAATACATGATTTTCCAAGTCTCTATGATTATGCATACTTTTAGAGTTCGTACTGTTGATCCGAGAGTTTAAGTATGGAATTTTTCTTCTTCTTTTTTTGACTAGGTGGGGTTATGCTATATATGGTGTTCTTGAAGTAAATGTTTGCCCCAAATTACGAATGTGGTCATGGAAGCATATTAGCGAACATAGACAAAAAATGAAGCAGTATAAAGAATTGTATAAAAAAAGGTTAACAAGTAAGAAGCCATCTGGTGAAATTCTCATGTCTTTGGAGGTTAGCATTAAAAAATTGTGATTGAATATTTTGTACTGTATTATTCCTCCTGAGTCTTTATTGAGTAATGCTGATTATTTGCTGTAATTTTTACTGACCATGCTCTCTTTTATTTAGACATTTTTGTGCTCTTATTTACTCATTTAATGTAAGATCTGGCGAAATTATGTTAACTTTTAAAATTTAGTGAAGAATTTTCAACCTTAAGGAATTTGGATTCATGCACATACTAACTTGAAGCTTCATTTTATATCATTCTTAACCTCAAAACCTAAAAAGTGTTCACTACATCCTTTCCAAATTTCTCTGTAGGTTTCAAACCTATAAATTATCTGGCACCAGCCCATTTCTGTTGTGTTATTATCTGACTGTACATTGTTTTCTGTCTTCTATATGTGCAGTATTAGTTGTTATAGATGTGCCTATGCTAAAATGTGCCATCTGTCTTTTCTTGTCCTTCTGCTCTCCCAGTTCTGCTGGTCCCTAAAGTTCTATTTAAGTCCTATCCATTTTAAAGTTCTTGCATGAACTTTCCTGTGCTTAAATCTTATCTCTTGCCTGAACTTTCTGGCCTTACGGAGCTTTTTCTCTTTAATTCTTGTGTTATCTCTAGCAACTTGGTATTTCATTATCTGTCTTGAGGTATTATTCTTACATTAGTCAAATCTTTTAGCATTAGGGTGTATTTTAAAAGGGACTATTTTACCAGATGAATTAAATCTAGTTTAGAGAGACAGAGGGTAGTTATCTTCTTGAAATTAATGTAACCATTCTGAATCTAGAACATATTTCCAGTTAGTAGTAAAAAATGGCTTGAGCATGAAACTTAAAAGTAATCATAAGGTTGGATAGCTATGATGAAAGATTTAGTTTATCTCGGCTTATTTCAATAGCCCAAATATCTTTGGAAAGTGAACAAGTTAAAAACAAGTCTTAAGTGTGTCTAGGTAACTGATGATGGGGCATCTGAACTGTACACATAATATGAGGAATTTATAGTTATGTTTTTAGTTAAAAATGGCACTGTGTTTATGCTTAGCTGCAATTAAAACCCAAGTAAAAGTAATTTGTAAAATATATGTATGTTGTCTTTTCACTGTGTGTTGGTAACTGTTTATAGTTGTAACCTTTATATGCTCAACAGATCTGCTTTCTTTGTTCAAAATGCTACTCTGTTGTACTAATTTTCAAGCTAATTATATAGACACTGCCTTCCAGAATTTAACAAATGTATCTTATATTGTCTGGGTGTTCTTTTTTCTGCTTCTATCCTGTTTTCATTACTATAGAAATTTGATGCATTATGTATATATAATTATTTATGTGAAGTTAACATTTTCATTTATATTTTCAGGAGTTGGAGAAAACCCTGGATATCTTTAATATAACTATAGCTAGACAACAGGCAGAAGTTGAGGTAATTTTAGATTTATCATTCAGTTATTAAGAATAAATCTGAATTCTATATGGATATGACAGATGCTGTAATGTTATCAATATCATGCTGAAAAATACTGTTTCCTTCAAAGGCTTCAATTTTACTTTTGTGTGTTATTAGAAAATTTGAGTTAATCTTTGCCACCTCCATTTAAATCAGACAGGTTTTTATAGATAGAAATTTTAGTAATAATTAGGCTTACCGTAAAGGTGAAAAGCTAGTTTTTTCCCTATACATTACGATGACTCATAAGACAGTAGGGAAACTATGTGATCCAGAATTCTTGCTGGCTGATGTTGCAGTTATTAAGTTCTGTTGTTTGTGTATCTTGTTTATGTTCACTCAGGTGGATACATTTTGGAAATACGTGGTTGTAGTTCTTTTGAGGTGCTAAAAAAGGATAATTTTTTATTTATGTGAAAATTTAATCATTTTAGGTAAAGAAGGCTGGATACAGAATTTATAAAGAAGGAGTAAAAGATCCAGAGGATAATAAAGGATGGTTTAGTTGGCTATGGACTTGGTCAGAATCAAAAACCAAACAGACTAAACAGCAACCAGACGTTAAACCTGGAAGTATGTTCGTTTCATTTTATAGTTTTATAGTTAATTATCAGGTGTGAAATAAAGTTTTGTAGAAAAGTTTCTCTAATTAAAATAAATGTGTGTATCTATATTGTATATATATACATATGTAAAATGATATATTGTTTAAATTTATTATAAAGTTTTAAGTCTAAAATGTGTTTATTTTGCCCTTTTTTTTCTTTTTTGACTTAAATCAACTATTTTTCTTCTATGGATTGACTGGGTGATTCTTTTTAAAATTATAATTATTCAGTTATATTGTGCAGATCAGTGGGTTTCATAATACGCATTTTAATTCATGCATTTTAAATGTGTATGTTAATTTTTAAAAATCTTAACTAATGCTACAGAAGAACTTTATATCCCAAACATTTAGTGAATGCATTTGGGGGTAGTAAATAAAAATTACATAATGTTGTACACCATTTGAAATTTTAATTGAAATTGTTTCTTGGAAAGATTTTTATTTCTTAAATGCTTAAGGTCATAGCTTTGGGACTTAGATATACATCCTGGATCTATCACTTGTTGGCTCTAGCAAATTAGTTAAGTTCTCTAAATCTGTTTTAACATCTATAAATTGGGAGGAAATTATAACTACCTCTACCCTATTTTGTATGCTCAGTGTATTTCTTAGTACAGTGGCATTAACTGCCCAATACAGTTAGCCCTTTTTTGAACTCCTGATTAATACAAACATTTAGAAATCTGTTAAATTTGTATGCTTAGTAACTTAGGTTTTTGGAGAGTAACTTTAAAATTTTCGGTACTATCCTAACATTCATTGGTTCTGAAAAGTAATAGAAAAAGAAAGTAAACTTTCGTTTTATTTATAAAGGCAGCTGAATTATGCTTTATAATATTATTGGTTAAGAACCTGAAACACCTGTTTATGATTTGTAGTTCTTGAAGAAATGTTGACACCTGAAGAAAAAACTTTACTCTATGAAGCAATTGGCTATAGTGAAACAGCAGTTGATCCAACTTTGCCCAAAACAGTAAGATGTTTTCTTGCTTTATAAACTCTGAATTTAACGTTAGATATGCTTATTATAATGCCTATATAATTCAGATGTATATACTACTCACTTGTTCTGGGATCTTTTTCTGGGTCCATAAGTATTTCATTTATTTTAATTTCCAAAGTTGAATAGAAGTTACTCAATTTATTTTTTTGATGCTAAAATGCTGATTTTAAAAAGTATATATATTTTAAATTAATGGATTATAAAAGTAAGATTATATGTTGTGTTTATAATTACGTGTGTATGTGTGTGTGTATATATATTTATGTGTGTGTGTGTATATATATATATGTATATATTTACTTTATTTTTCTGGGGATATACTCTAGTTTGAAGCCATGAAGATTTTCATTCATTTGAAAAGTATGTCTGTTGTTTTAAGAGAAAGTCACCAAAAACCTGAGCTCATAGACATTGTTGTAGAAGAATTTAGCACTTCAGTTGTGCAAAGACCAGGAGCACAAGCAATAAAGTAAGTATTAATTTATTTTCTTTTATAGATCAAGCGTTTCTAATCTGAAAATCTGAAACTTTTTCAGTGCTCTCATGGTGCCAGTAGTAGAAAATTCCACACCTGAGCTTGTGTGAAGAGTCATAGTCAAAATGCAGGTGCACTAAAAATGTTGTATATAATTATCTTCAGGCTCTGTACATGAGGTGTATATGAAATACAGATTTTGTGTTACCATATGCATAAGGAGATACTCTAAGATCCAAAAAAATCTGAAAACTTTTTAGAAATACATATTTCTGGTCTCAGGCATTTCAGATAAGGGATATTCATCCTGTGTTTTAAAAGAAAAAATTTGACTGTAAGGTTGAAGTTTGGGTCACAGTCTTTCAGTCTTGTATATGTAATAGTTCCATCTATCTGTGCATGTGATTTTAGGAGCTTTCATTTTTTTCCCAGTAATACACTGTATATCTTTTAGAATTACAATTGTTTTATTAATTATTTTTTTGTATTAAATTCTTTTATTGGTACATTGTAGGTATACAACACAATTAC